TCCCTTCCTTTTTAATAAAGGTGGAATCATATTCCCTTGTATGGATAAGCCACACTTTGTTTATCCATCCACCTGGGGGTTTGTTTGTTTTTTGGCAGCGCCACATGGTTTATGCAATCTTAGTTCCCCAACCAGGGATCGAACCTGGGTCCACGACAGTGAAAGCACCCGGTCCTAACCAGTGGACTGCCAGGGAATTCCCAATATCCATCCATCTGTTGATGGGCCCTTACGCTGCTTCCAGCTGTTGGCATTGATGAATAACACTGCTATGAATATGAGGGCTTGAGACCTAGTTGTCAATTCAGAAGTGTATATACTCCGAAGAGTTCCTGGGCTTCCCTCGTGGCTCAGCTGGTGAAGAACCCGCCTGCAATGCAGGAGACCCGGGTTCGATCCCTGGGTTGGGAAGATCCCCTGGAGAAGGGAAAGGCTACCCACTCCAGTATTCTGGCCTGGAGAATTCCATGGACTGTACAGTCCATGGGGTCGCAAAGAGTTAGACACGACTGAGTGACTTTTACTTTCTGCTTTCTTATTCTCCGAAGTGGAACAACCGGATCACATGGTGGCTCCATTTTCAGTCTTTGCTGAGGATCCCCCACTGTTGCCCACGCAGTTGCATCATTGTCATCCCCATGACCAGTGCATGAGGGTCCCAGTTCCTTCACATCCTCACCAACACTTGCTATTTTCAGAGTTTTTTTGACAATGGCCACCGTGATGGTGGCCATTCAGAAAACTAAGATCATGGCCTATGGTCCCATCACTTCATGGCACATAGATGGGGAAACAGTGGAAACAGTGGCTGACTTTATTTTGGGGGGCTACAAAATCACTGCAGATGGTGATTGCAGACATGAAATTAAAAGACACTTACTCCTTGGAAGGAAAGTTATGACCAACCTAGACAGCATATTAAAACACAGAGACATTACTTTGTCAACAAAGGTCCATCTAGTCAAGGCTATGGTTTTTCCAGTGGTCATGTATGGATGTGAGAGTTGGACTGAAAGCTGAGCACTGAAGAATTGATGCTTTTGTACTGTGGTGTGGGAGAAGACTCTTGAGAGTCCCTTGGACAGCAAGAAGATCCAACCGACTGGAAGGAAACCATCCTAAAGGAAATCACTCCTGGGTGTTCATTGGTAGGACTGATGCTAAAGCTGAAACTCCAATACTTTGGCCACCTGATGTGAAGAGCTGACTCACTGGAAAAGACCCTGATGCTGGGAAAGATTGAGGGCAGGAGGAGAAGGGGACGACAGAGGATGAGACGGTTGGATGGCATCACCGACTCAATGGACATGGGTTTGGGTAAACTCCAGGAGTTGGTGATGGACAGAGAGGTCTGGGGTGCTGCGGTTCATGGGGTCACAAAGAGTCAGACACGACTGGGTGACTGAACTGAACCCTGGCGGTGTGAGGCAGTGAGGAGGCAGAGATTTTTCAGGGTTGCTGATGATGGTGATGATGGGGAAAATGCCAGCAGGAGTAACAACAACCATAGCTGGCACTCCATTCCTCTCTCCCAGCCCACTCTCCCCACCACCACCTGGCAGGAGGAGCCATTTATCTGGGTGCTGAGTGCAAGACTTGGGCACCTCTGGCTTGTTTCTCAGTCAGGGGGAGTTACTGAATTACAACCATTCTGACCAAAGTGAGACAGTATCTCCTTGTGGGTTTGACTTGCATTGCCTGGTGATTAGTGATGTTGAGCATCTTTCATGTGCCTTTTGGCCATCTATGCTTCAGTTCAGTTCAGTCACTCAGCCATGTCCAACTCTTTGTGACCCCATGGACTGCAGCATGCCAGGCCTCCCTGTCCATCACCAGGACACCAGTCAGTGATGCCATCCAACCATCTCATCCTCTGTCATCCCCGTCTCCTCCTGCCCTCAATCTTTCCCAGCATCACGGTCTTTTTCCAGTGAGTCAGCTCTTCACATCAGGTGGCCAAAGCATTGGAGTTTCAGCTTTAGCATCAGTCCTACCAATGAACACCCAGGGCTGATCTCCTTGAGGATGGACTGGTTGGATCTCCTTGCAGTTCAAGGGACTCTCAAGAGTATTCTCCCACACTACAGTACAAAAGCATCAATTCTTCAGTGCTCAGCTTTCTTTATAGTCCAACTCTCACATCCACACATGACCACTGGAAAAACCATAGCCTTGACTAGACGGACCTTTGTTGGCAATGTAATGTCTCTGTTTTTTAATATGCTGTCTAGGTTGGTCATAACTTTCCTTCCAAGGAGTAAGCATCTTTTAATTTCATGTCTGCAGTTACCATCTACAGTGATTTTGGAGCCCAGAAAAATAAAGTCAGTCAGTGTTTCCCCATCTATGTGCCATGAAGTGATAGGACCAGATGCCATGATCTTAGTTTTCTGAATGTTGAGCTTTAAGCCAACTTTTTCACTCTCCTCTTTCACTTTCATCAAGAGGCTCTTTAGTTCGTCTTCACTTTCTGTCATAAGGATGCTGTCTTCTGCATATCTGAGGTTATTGATATTTCTCCCGGTAAACTTGACTCCAGCTTGTGCTTCATCCAGCCCAGTGTTTATCATGATGTACTCTGCATCTAAGTTATAAGTTACTTATAAATTACATCTATGCTTAGTTGGATTGAATTTGCTCTTCTTTTCCTAGAAGCTTAGATGATAGATTTAGATAGTGTCTTCTAGTAGATACATTCAATTCTATAAGTTTCCTTCTACAAACTGTTTTCATTGAATCCCACAAATTCTGATAAGTTGTACTTTCACTCTCATTTAGTTCAAAATGTTTTAATATTCTCCTGAGATTTCTTCTTTGACTATTTAGAAGAGTGTTGTTTAATCTCCAAGTCTCTTAGGCTTTTCCAGCTATCTTTCTGATATTGCTTTCTTTTTTAATTCCATTGAGGTCTGAGAGTATACATTGTATAATCTGTACTCTTTTTTTTTTTTAATTAAAAACTTTCTTTTTTTCCTGGCTGTACCATGAGACTTGCCAGATCTTGTTTCCCTGACAAGGGATTGAACCTATGCCCGCTGCATTAGAAGTGTGAAGTTTTAACCCCTGGACCATCAAGGAAGCCCTAATCTGTATTGTTTTAAATTTAAGGTGTGTTTTACGGCTTGTTTTAGATATGATCTATCTTGGCAAATGTTCCATGTGAGTTTGAGAAGAATGTACATTCTGTTGTTGGATGAAGTCGTATTAATGTTTTTACTTGAAAGTAGTTTTAGACTTGCAGAGAAGTTGCAAAAATATAATTCAGAGAGCTCTCGTGTGCCCTTCACCCAGCTCCCCGTGACGGCATCTTACAAAACTATAAGGCAATGGCAAGATCTGGAAATTGACACTGGCATGAAACTGCTAACGAAACCACAGAGTTTATTTGGATTTCTCCTACTTCTCCATACACTGAATTTTTCTCTTTGTATTATACTGCTGTGAATTTCATTGCACACAGATTTGTGTAACCATGTACCCAATCAGGATACAGAGCTGTCCCACCATTCTAAAAAATTCCCTTATGCTATTTCCTATGACCATCCACCTCCCCATCCCAGCCCCTGGAAACCACTGATCTGCTCTTCACAGTTATTTACATATGTATGTATATATCTTTAGTTGCCAAGTCGTGTCCGACTCTTGTGACCCCATGGACTGTAGCCTGCGAGGCTTCTTTGCCCATGGGATTCTCTAGGCAAGAATACTGGAGTGGGTTGCCATTTCCTTCTCCAAATATATATATATAATTTTGTTTTAATGTTGAGAATCTTATGCAAATGGAATCATAGCATGTCATCTTTTGAGAGTGGCATTGTCCACACAGCACAAGCGCCTGAGCTCCATCCAGGCTGAGTCCAGGGTTCATTCCTTTTGGTCTTTTGCTGTCTCTGTTCCCTCCTTGGGAAGAGGCCTTGACCCCTTTCCTCTCCCCAAGGTCCCAGGCTCCATGCAAGCTGGATGCTCTGCTCCAGGCAGCAGGACCGGGAGCTCCCAGGGACCCTTGGGCAGTGATTCCCCTCGACCTGTCTCCACGTTCCACAGCCAGCATAGACTCTACTAGGTGAGGACCCAGAGTTGACCCCCACGTTTCAGATGGGGAGCAGAAGCACAGAGGAGATGTCATTTTTTAATCATCTACTTTGTGTATTTGTGTAATCTGTGTTGTGTATTTGTGTAATCTGTGTTGTGTATTTGTGTAATCTGTGTTGTGTATTTGTGTAATCTGTATTGTGTATTTGTGTAATCTGTGTTGTGTATTTGTGTAATCTGTTTTGTGTATTTGTGTAACCTGTTTTGTTGCATTGAGTCTTTGCTGCTGCTCGGGGGCTTTCTCTCGTTGCAGCCAGCAGGGCCACTCTTCATCGCGGTACCCGGGCTTCTCATTGCAGTGGCTCCTTTTGCAGGAGAAGACAGGCTTCAGTCATTGTGGCGCACGGGCTTAGGTGCTCCGTGGCATGTGGTATCTTCCCAGACCAGGGATCGAACCCGTGTCCCCCTGCATTGGCAGGTGGATTCTTATCCACTGTGCCGCCAGGGAAGTCCCTGTCATTTGCTTCGAATCTGGCTGTGAGCAGAGGCACCCTGCATGCGGGAAACCCAGCCCCGCCCGCCCACAGACCCCCACGCCAGCCCACTCCCCATGCGGGATGCTCTCTATTTCCATCCCCAGGATAGTCCAGGATGAAGACCTCTGGCTGGAGGTGTCACCCACCCTGAGACCTGAGCCAGGAGAGGGCGGCAGCCCGACCGATCAGGAGCAGAGCAGCTGTGGCGCCCACAGTCTCGGTGAGATGGGGGTCCACCTCCTGGCCGTTCATCCCGACTCTGGCTGGATGAGCCTGGGCCAGTGACGGCGGAGCTCACCCAGGACCGCTGCACAGAGAAAGGACGGAAAGCCACACTCTTTCAAGCAGAGATGCTTGCACATGTGCGCATGTAGAGACACAGTCCACTGCTTACCGATGTAGAGAGTGTGGGGACTTCCGGAGACCTCAGCCATGGCGGGTGAGAGGCTGAATCTCCAGAAGACAGGGAACGGCAAACAAACGGTGGTCGTGAAGAGGCTGAGTGACTGGTTCAAGGGCCAGACTCGTTCAGTTGCTAAGTCGTGTCCGACTCTTTGCGCCCCCGTGGACCACAACACACGAGGGTTCCCTGTCCTGCGCTATCTCCCAGTTTGCTCAAATTCATGTCTGTCAGTAATGCTACCTAACCATCTCATTCTCTGCCACCCTCTTCTCCTTTTGCCTTCAATCTTTCCCAGCATCAGGGTCTTTTCCAGTGAGTCGGAAGGACTCATTGGAAGGACTGATGCTTAAATTCTAATACTTTGGCCACCTAATGGGAAGAGCTGTCTCACTGGAAAAGGGCCAGAGTATGTGGGTTCAAATCCCAGCTCCATCACTTTGCAGCTGTCTTACTGTGGGAAACAGTTTCCCCATCAATAGAAGGTCGATGATCATACTCATAAAGGATCACTTGAGGATTCAGTGAGATAATTTAATTTCAGACGGGCAGGATCCTCATTTCCGGGAAGGGAACAGGGTGTGGACCTGGCCTTGATCACACCCATCTTTGTCGGGCTCCAACTCCAGTGCTCCTTCTTTCTCTATCTTGGTGTTCCCATTGTACTTTATACATTTTCATGTTTCCTCCCAGTCTTAGAATCAGCTGGGATTAAAAAAAATACTCATTGCTTGATGAAAATGTCTGTGTAGAACCTAGCCAACTCCTTTCCAATTCTCCCAGCCTTTGAGATGACTGAGACCCAGAGAAGCCAAGGAAACTACCTAAGTCACACAGCCTGTAAGTGGTGTAAAACGGAAGGTGGACCCAGGCAGCCTGGTTCCAGCATCTGAGCCGTTGACCACACCCCTGGATAGCCTCACTTATACCTGAAATTCTTGATTCATTCACCAACACTGTTTTTGAGTTCATAACACATATTGGGTACTGGTCTGGACATGGAGGATTCAAAGGTGAATAAGATCCAGTCCCTGACCTCAAGGTACAGCAGGGGGCAGAGACTGCTAAAGAGTCATCTAGTGGTCATGAGAAAAAGCCTTGACCTTCTGCATGAAGTCCGGGATTGGAGTGGGCAGTCAGGGATGACTCCCTGGAGGAGGTGATGACTGAGCTGAACCTTGCAGGATGAGCTGAAGTTTGCCAGAGAGAGATTTGAGGGGCAGGGCACTCCTGGCAGAAGGAGCAGCATGTGCAAACACACAGACAGACAGCATAAAATAAAGTGGGGTCATCACGGTGCAATTGACTTACGGAAAATTCAGCTGGGCAAACTGAATTTTTACTTTTTTTTTTTAAAGAAAAAACTGGCTAAGCATGCGATGGGAGCAAGGAACCCACAGCTGGGCTGTTGGTCTGACTCCCACAAGCCTGCAGAGCTTGGGTCTCTGCCGACGGTGGACTAAATTGTTGGGAAACTCTGAGGGCTGACAGTTTGGGTCTGTGGTGGTGGGCGGGGCCGGGACTGGGTGCGGCCTCCCAAGGCATTTAGAAGACTGTAGCCTTTACCCTGGGGACCATGGGAGTCATTGACCGTTTCTCCCCGGTGGCTCAGATGGTAAAGAATTTGCCTGCAATGCAGGAGACCCGGGTTCCATCCCTGGGTCAGGGAGATCATCTGGAGAAGGAAATGGCAACCCACTCTGGTATTCTCTGGGAAATCCCACGGACAGAGGAGCCTGGCGGGCTACAGTCCCTGGAATTGCAAAGAGTCGGACATTACCGAGCGACTAACACTTTCACTGTCACCAGATAAGTTAAGCGTGAACTTTAACCCTGTGGCCGGCAGGCCGCTCCGCAGCAGCAGATCCAGTCTGTACCACACTGCCCCCTAGTGGAGATCTCTAAGGGTGTCACTGATGGGAGTTCGGGTCACTGGTTGGACCAAGCCTGATGACGGAAATGTACACTGCCCCCACTCTGTGCAGAAACAGCCAAGATTCAAGAGTCTGCCTACTTGTCCAGGAAGGGCAGGGCCAGCCCCCGTCCCCCCCGCCCCAGCCATCCACACAGGTTCTCAGGCCTCGGCTAAGGGACATGCCACCATCACTAGACGGCGGTGTCCTGCAGCTGAACCAGCGTCCTCAGAGCTGAGGGCTTTCAGCAGGTTCCCGGGGCCGCGGCTCCCTTTTCTGGAAGCTGTAGCGGGACTATGTGGGCTTGTTGTTCAGTCGCTCAGTGCTGTCAGACTCCTTGCGACCCCACAGACTGCAGCACACCAGGCTTCCCTGTCCTCACCCTCTCCAGGAGTTTGTTCAAACTCATGTCCATCGAGTCCGTGATGCCATCCAACCACCTCATCCTCCGCCGTCCCCTTCTCCTCCTGCCCTCAATCTTTCCCTTCATCAGGGTCTTTCCCAGTATGTGGGCTCAACAGAGTAACAAAAACATCCAGAGAACCTGCTGGGGGGCCCTGTGTCTTCCTAAAGGACCCTCCCTACACGGCTCCCACCAAGCGGTGGGGAGCCCGCCACCCCTGGGAGCACCCCTCCACCTGCCTCCATCTTTGGGGTGCTCACTCTGGGGGAAGCTGGCCCCCCTGCTGGCCCACACCAAAGGCCTGCTTGGAGAGGGACGGAGCACCCACTAGACAGCTGGCCTCTCGACCTGAACAAACTTTCAGGGCACTCCGGCTCTGGCTGAGGCCCCAAAAGAGCCCAGGCTCCCAGCCCATGAAATCTGTAAGCTTAACATGTGGCTGTAACTTTCCGGAGTAATGGGCCCCCCACCTTACCCTTGAGAGGGGAGCAGATCGGGGGTGGTCACTCCTCTCCACGGTGAGCAGAGCTGGGCAGGGGAAGTGCAAGGGCCAGGAAGCCAGGACGGAGTCTGCAGGAGCCTTGGAGGAGGGGAGAGGCCCTGCCAGGGAGGGCTGTCAGGGTGAGGATGCCCGCAGAGCACCCCAGGAGCACAGGCAGGGAGGCTGGGCCCTGTGCTTGGAGAATGCCCTGAATGCCGAGTCCAAAGTCAGGGCAGGCGGGAGGCTGGGGAGCGAAAGGGCAGGCCCAGCGGCCTTGGAATCTGTCCTCAGACAGCTCTGAACCGGCACCGGAGGAAGGGCAGGTGGATTTGGCCGAAAGACTCTCTGAGGATGGGGGATGGGAGGGGTGAGGTGGGAATGGGGGTGGGTCAGAGGCCGGTGTACCATGAGGAGGTCACATCCCCAAAAGCATTGAATCGGTGGGAGGTTCCGCAGACGGCCTCCCCTCCCCCTCCCCTCCCCTCCCCCCCTCCCCTCTCCCCTCCTCCCCTCCCCTCCCCTCCTCCCCCTCCTCCCCCTCCTCCCCTCCCTCTAGTGCTCCGTTTCCGTTTCCTGCCCACCAGCCTTCCAGGGCCCGACCCAGCTCCCCAGAACTCTGACCCCTGAAGGAAATGCCCCAGCCTGAAGTGGGCACTCTGTTCTGGTCACTGGCAGAGGGCATTTTGAGGGTGCTTTTCCCTGACAGCTGCAGTGACTAAGCCCACGCTGCGTGTCCTGACCAAGTCAGATTTCTGAAAGAACACCCAGACCTCACACACACACACACACACACACACGCAGGGTGGTGAGATGACACGGGTGCTGGGCTCAGACAGGCCTTGGCCCCATCCATGTCCATCTGTTTCCAGCCGTGAACCTGGCTGAGCCCCCGACACCCTCTGACCCTCGGCTTCCTCAGCTGCAGCGTGGGGATCACTAAGGCACCTGCTCCACTGGACTGTTGAGGATCCCTGAACCCGGGCATATGGGCCCTCCAGTGGCACCAGCCAGCACCTTCGCATAAGAACTTTTTAAAATGTCTCTGTGCTAAAGGAAAGGAGAGAAGGAAAGGGGGCCGGGCATCCATGAGAAAGACTCTGTGTGTGTGTGTGTGTGTGTGTGTGTGTGTGTGTGTGTGTGAGCCCCCCATGGACCACAGATTAGACTCGCCTTGTCTGCACACGCCCGCGACTCTGTGTCCAGTCCCCAGTCCCTGGAAGCCTCTGGAAGCCTGCAGATGGACGGCCCAGAGCGTGCTCCGGTTCAGGCCGTGCCGGGCCTCCCGTAATAAAGACCTGTTTCTTCCTGGCCACACGCTTGGCCTAGAGACTGAGGGCTCAGCGGGCAATTCGGAGCTCCTGCCCGCCCGCCCTGGACACACTCGGGCCTTCTGTCTGCCCCACGCCCCACTGTGGGATGCTCACAATGCGGCCCTGTTCTCCCCTCCGCCAGCCGCCCCGGGAGGAGCCCGTGCCAGCTGCAGGGAGGCTGCCTTCGCTGGCTTCCAGGAAGACACGCACACAGTGTGTGGCCGGGGACGGGGGCACCTCCTCGCTGGCAGCCCTTAGAATTAGGGGTGGTTTGTTAAGGGCAAAACCCCTGTTCATCAGGCAGGGCTGCTGTCCACTCGCTTGAGAGCAGGCTTCCCCTCTGAGCCTGGAACACGCTGAGTCCACTCCGGCGCTAGGCCCTTGTGCAGGCTGTTTCTCTCTGATCTTCCTGGGGCTCTTCCTCCTCACCTGCAAGTCTGAGCTTAAGTGGTTCCTCCTGGAGCTGGGATCTGCCGTCACTGACTGCTATCTTTCAGCCCTGTTTGATTTTCCATGTGTATTGAGCATCTGTCTTGTCCCTTGAGAGGGTAAGCTTCATGGGTCAAAGAGCTGTCTTTTTCATGCCTGGGCCCCAAAGTCCAGCACAGTGCCTGGATCAAGAAGGCCACAGTTGAACCTGAAATATGACACGAATGAACTTATCTATGAAACAGAGGGCTTCCCTGGTGGCTTAGCTGGTAAAGAATCTGCCTTCAATGCAGGAGACCCGGATTTGATCCCTGGGTCGGTAAGATCCCCTGGAGAAAGGAATGGCTACCCACTCCAGTATTCTTGCTTGGAGGATTCTATGGACAGAGGAGGCTGGCGGGCTACAGTCCATGGGGTCGCAAAGAGTCAGACATGACTGAGTGACTAACGCTTTCACTTTTCATGAAACAGAAGCACTCTCACAGACATAGAGATTAGACTTGCGGCCACCAAGAGGGAGGGGGATTGGGGAGGAATGGAGTGGGAGCTGGGGTTAGCAGGTGCAAACTGGTGCATATAGAATAGATAAACAAGAGGTCCTACTGTATAGTACAGGGAACCTGATTCACTATCCTGTGGTAAACCATAATGGAAAAGAATATGAAAAAGAATATATATATATATATATATATATATTCATATAACTGAAACACTCTGCAGGACAGCAGAAATTAACACAACATTGACATCAACTATTGTTGTTGTTCAGTCACCAAGTCATGTTGGACTCTTTGCGACCCCACGGACTGCAGCATGC